GAGGGAGATGGCCAAGGCGGCGCATGGCCCTGGGGCAAGGCCCTCACGCGCAAGGAGTATGCCGCAGCCTTGACCACCGCCCCAAGTCGCCCACCAGCGGCCGCATCATCTGTTGGGACAACTCGAGCTGGCAGGGCTGCCACAACTCCACCTGCCCGCGCTCCCAGTGGCAAAGTCGGCCTCTTGGACAGGTCGGTGCAGATGCAGATCATCCGGCGAGGCGGCATCGAGGGCGGCCCGAAGGTCGGTTCGCATGAGGAGGAAGATCGGAAGTTGGGCGCCCTCCAGGAAGGAGCGGGAGGCGGCGGGCGACTCCGAGAAAGCCGGCGGGGCTGCAGGGCACCCGCCGGCCGCAGGGCTGAAGGCCAAGGCGGCGCCTGAGGCTAGCGGGCCGAAGATGGGGGAGCGCAAGCCCGGGGACGACAAGGTCGACCCCCGCAAGGCGGCAGAGGGTGCAAGCGCTGACCCGAACACTCCCCAGGGTGGGCACCACGAGCCGCCGCAGCCAACTTGCGAGGGCCCCAGGCCACGCGCTGGGCAGGTCGAGGCGGGAGAAGAAGCTGAGCCACGTCCGATGGGCTGGGTCGAAGCGCCCGAGAAGCTGAAGGACTTCAACCCTACGGAGCTCGAGGAGCACCTGCGCCTGACCACGTAGGGCCCGGACGCCAAGTGGTTGTCCAACCACCGCCAAGCGAAGCAGCAGCGAGCCCCGCAGCAGGACTCCACTCTGGAACTGGCGAGGCGCAAAGAGGTCACGCACGAGATCGACACCGACCCCAACCTGCAGCACGCGGCCACGGAAGACGGCTTGCCGGGCTGCTACTTCGCAACAGAGTGCGAGCGGAGAAGGGGGCGGGCGAGCAGAAAGATGTCGAGGCGCTAGCAGCTCACGCAATCGAGTTCGAATGCCCCGAGTTCGCGGACGCGGCGGCAGCCTTCCTGCAGCTCCACTATCGGCGGAGCAAGGCGGGCGAGGTTGCCCCAGTGCAGGCCAAAGGGGGCCCCGTCACCTGGGGCGCAGACGACGAGCCGGGCCAGGGCGCGCTCGTGCTGGTGGGCCTCAATTGGCGGGTGCTGGACTACCGCGACAAGTTCGCCTTGGACGCGGACACCACGGCGGCGCTGGACGGCTTGCAGCACGCAGCCCACCTCAACCCACCCGAGATCGAGCTACGCGAGTGCGCGATCATCAATGCGGCGGCCGCCACCATGATCGGCGACAACGCGGAGCGACCCAGGGGGCGGCCGTCGGCCATTGAAGTCCAGGAGAAGGGCTCGAGGCTGAGGAAGACGGCTGCCCCGGATGCAGAGGGGGCACTTGGCGAGACGCCGGGGACGCTCACCCAGGCGGAGGCGGACCTCCACATCTTCTGCCACGACCCCACCCACCGCGACCACGACAAGGACTGCCGCACACGCCGCCATGCCGTCCACACCCTTACGCAGCAAGGCGCTCGAGGCCGCGCGCGTGGACTTCTACGGGCGGGCGGCGGGCGGCGGTCGAGCTCATCGTCGGCTCCGAGTTCACGCGCCACGAGGAGGACATCCTGTGGGTGCTCGTGCACAAGGGGCACATGCGCATGCTCGTCGCCCCAGGCCCGGGCATCCCTGGCCAGCTATACGGCGCTGGGATCGACGCGCAGGAGCACCCGGCGCCAGGATGGGAGATGCGGTACCACGTTGGAGCTGGCGCCGAACACCAGGCCGCCGCCGGCGCACCCAGGGGCGTTAGCATGCCAGAGGTGCGCCGAGGCTGCTGGCATCGCAGTGACTCGGCGGCCCGCGTCGGACTTCGTGGCGGGGCCCTTGAGCGAGGAGACCCTCGCCGGCTCCGCTCGCCTCTTGGAGGAGGCCGCGCCAGTGGGAGGTCGAGGAGGACGAGGAACTGGTGGGCGGAAAGGCGGGCGAGGTCCAGGCCACACCGAGCGAGGAGGGGATTCGCTCGTGGCTTTGGGGGCCAGGCGCAGGCGCTCCCAGCGCCGGGAGAACGCCTCGACCTGCTGGAGATCTTCACGGGCGAAGCCAGGATCTCCCAGGCCATCAACCAGAAGGGCGGCCCAGCCATCAAGAGAGGGCGTCAGCACGGACGCGACCTACGCCGACGGAGGGACAGGAGCCTGCCGAAGGCTTTGGTGGCCAGATGCGACCCCTACGAGACGTGGATGACTACGCGTGGCCGCCCCAGGTGATCCTCAGCGTCTGGTGCGAGCTCCGTGGCAGGCAGTGCGAGGAGCTCAGGATGCTACGCTCGGGTCTGCTCGAGCTGCAGGCGGACGACAACGCGAGCTGGGACAGGACCAAGCTCGCGTGCCAAGCGCCGAGGAGCCCAGAGGATCCCTCGGCGTGGCCCAGGATGCCTCGCACCTTCTTCCTGGACGACCCCGCCCAGTTCATGATGACGGACACCAAGGTCAGGCACCACAGCAAGCTGCAGAGGTCACAAATGCAGACGGCGCTGCGCTCGTCCGCCGCGCAGCCGCGCCCGCAGCTGGCGGGCTCGGGGCGCCCGAAGGCAGGAGCGGGATGCGGCGGAGGCGGCCGGGAAGGTGGAGGCGGAGAAGGAGCCCAGGAGGGAGATGGCCAAGGCGGCGCATGGCCCTGGGGCAAGGCCCTCACGCGCAAGGAGCATGGCCGCAGCCTTGACCACCGCCCCAAGTCGCCCACCAGCGGCCGCATCATCTGTTGGGACAACTCGAGCTGGCAGGGCTGCCACAACTCCACCTGCCCGCGCTCCCAGTGGCAAAGTCGGCCTCTTGGACAGGTCGGTGCAGATGCAGATCATCCGGCGAGGCGGCATCGAGGGCGTCATCAGGACTTGGTGCACATCCCACGGAACAGAAAGGAAGGACCCGCAAGCCAAGTGTTTTTTTGCGTGTGTGTGTGTGTGATTTGATTACGGACAAAATGGAAGCTGCACCAAGTCTGCTTGAACCGGGATGCCTGAACCTGGATGCATGAAGCTCCACGAATCCCACCAAGCCCTCTGGGCGTAGGTGGTTCAACGGATTGTGTCTCTTCTCTTTCCCTTTCTCGTTATCTTTCTCTTTCTTTCTCTCTTTCTCTCTCTCTCTCTCTCTCTAAACCCCTCCTTCCCCTGCGCGGGGAAGGGTTCACCCGCTTCTCTACCCCTCCCCTGGGCCTGGGAGGGGGGGGCGCGAGACGCTACAGCCCCCAAGATCGCCCAATATGGCTCCAGGAGGGCGCCAGAGACCCCAAGATGGCCTCCAAGATGGCTCGAGATAGCCTCCGACGCACATCCAAAAAACCTCAAGACGGCCCCAAAACGGTTCCAAGTGCCCTCCAAGCCCTCCAAGGACCCCCCCAAGAGGCAACAACGGCTCCGAAACCGAGGCCAAATGTATGATGTTTGCCGTCTCGCCCTTTCGCTTCCGATGGGCCTCGGAGGCCTCAAGATGGCCCCAAGACAGCCCAACAGAGCCCCAAGAGGTGCCGCCCAAGAGGGGGCCCCGAGAGGGCCACAAGGACGCCCAAGAACGCCCCAAGAGCTCCCCTAAGGGGCCCCCAGACGCCCTGTTTGAGCCTCTGGGGGGAGGGGGGACCTGAATTGAGGATCCCCCCTTTTTGACTCATCGGTGCCAAGATGTCCCAAGAGGCCTCCCAGACCCTCCACGGAGCCACAAGAGGGCCCCAAGATTCCAACAAAAAGCCCCCAAGCGGGCGCCAAAAGGCCCCACGGGGGCCCTAAGAGCGCCTCTCAGATGGCCTTCGTCGTCCTTCAATAGCCTCTCACAACAACATACCTCAAAGACAGGCGTCTCCTCCTCCTCCGCCTCCTCCTCCTCCTCTTCCTCCTCCGCCTTTTCCTCCTTCTTCTCCTCCTCCTCTTCCTCCTCCTCCTCCTCCTTCTCTTCCTCCTCCTCCTCCTCCTCCTCCTCCTCCTCCTCCATCCTCCTCCCCCTCCCCATCCTCCGCCTCCTCCTACCCCCCCTCCCCCCCCCGCCCTCCCCACCGCCGCCCCTACCCCCCCGCTCCCCCATCTCTCCCCGCCCCCTACCCCCGCCCCCCCCCTCTCCCCCCCCTCCCTCCCCACCCCCAACCCCCTCCACCTCCGTCCCCCCCCACCCCCCTTCCCCCCCTCCCCCGCTCCCCCGCCTCCCCCCCTCCCTCCCTCCTCCCCCTCCCCCCCCCCCCCTCCCCCTCCCCCTCGCCCTCCCCGATGACATAACCGTGGCATGTCAACATCTGTCGCAAAAGACCCCAAGAAGACGCCCATAGAACCAAAACGGCGCCAAGTCGACCTGTTCAATCTACCGTTTAACGACTCATCAACAAATGTCCCTGCCCCCCCCCCCGCAACCTCCAAAGGCATCAAGGGCCGCATCAAGGGCATCAAGGGCGGCTGTCGCAATATGCTTCAAGGGAAAGAAGAAAGGGTCCTGTGGTCTCATGAGCCCTTTAAGTGTACTTTTGGGTGTACTTTTGGGCGCATCGCCCGTGGGCTCGCCGGAATGGCCGCGCGGCGACGCCCGCGCCCGACGCGTCCGAGGGCCCGGGCCATCGGCCCCCGGCTCTGCTTTTGAGCCCCTTCCCCCCCCACTCGAAAGTACAACTTCCCGTTTGTACTTTTAAAAAAATGCGCTCAAAAGTACGATCCGCCCCTGACTTCCCCAAATGATACTTTTGAGTTGACCCCTCCGAAAGAGCCGCGCCGTACTTTTGAGCGAGCGCCCGCCCCCCGGGGACGCGGGGAGATGGGGCGCGGGGGGGGAGCGAACGCGGGGGGGGGGCAGAGACGCGCGCGCATGCGCGGCAGCCACCAGGCCCGTCCCGCGGCGACCCTCGGCCGCTCGTGTTTCAGTACTTTCGAAAGGACCCATGCACGCATAGGACCCTTTCTACTTTTCCCGATCCTCCTCCACCTCCACCTCCACCTCCTCATCCCTCTCCTCTTCCTCCTCCTCCTCCCCCACTCCCCTCCTCGCTCCCCCTACTCCACCCTCGTCCAGCCTCCTTACCGCCCCGCGCAAGCCGACACCCGCCTCCAGCGCCTCGTCGACCTCATGGACACACCACATCCGGGTGTACACGTCCTGGGTAGGAGGAGCAGCAGGAGAAGATCCCAAGAAGTTCACGTACAGACAGAGAGAGCTCCCCACACTGGAGAGGAACTATGGCTACAGTGCGACCGGATCATGAAGGGCGTGCGGGAAGAATGCCGGGCCCTTGGAAGCCCGAGTCGATGCCGACGTCGTAAGCCCGTGGTCCATGGCCAAGACGTACGATGGGCCGAGAGGCAAGGATGCAAGTGCTCCCGTGAGAAGATACTCATTATTGTAATCCTGTCTGTCTGTAGCACTACGGGGGCGAAGAGGGGGGGGGCCTCCGCTGTGGTGTGAACGACCATCATCCCGTGGCTGGGCAGCGCATCTATCACCTTCTTGAAGGGCGCCAACGCAATCTGCTCTGGAATCGTGAGGGCACCGGCCGCTCCGTCGCCTGGCTGGTACAGCGACAGGGTGCAGAAGAAGACGGGCGTGTCCGGGGGCACGTTGCACTGCTCCTGTCGGCGGCGCGCCCCGGGGGAAGTCAGAAGGGGCGGGCCTTCTCAGAAGGCTCGGAAGTCCCCCCACCTTCTGAGAAGCTTTCCAGGTCTTCCCCGAAGACACAGAACACCTCCCCGAAGGCCAGAGAACTCCTCAGAAGGCCAGAGGCCTCCTGAGAAGCCCCGCCGCCTTCTGAGCAGTTCTTCTCCTTTCCTCCCTTCCCCCCCGGGCGCACCGCCGATCCTGGAAGAGCTCCAGGGCCTCGACCAGCTCGTCGGCGTCCTCCCCCCACGCGTGCGATAGCCGGCGGTCCTCGCAGAACCCTCGAGCAGGCGGCGAACTGGCCCGAGGCTGCCCCCCCCCCTCTCCCTTGGGCCTCCCTGGCCCAAAGCCCCGCTGGGGGGAGGGGGGGGGGGAAGAACGGGAAGAGTGACGGAAGAGGAGCAGCAGTGCAGCCGGACCTGGGCCAGAAGAACATCCCTCAAGAGTATGAGACCCTCCGTCGGCCAAAACGCACAGAACATCCGAGGGTATCCTCCCCCCAGGGTGCACAAGAACATCCAACTAACACGAAGAACGCGAGGGCACTTTCCCCGAACCGACCTCGATCTTACACCTCGGTCCGACTGGAGGGGGGGGGGGGGGGCGGGAAGGGGGAAGAGCGATCCCCAAGCGCCCCTGCGGAGGAGCTCTCTCACCAGCTCCCCCTGCGTGAATCGGCTTGCCCTGCGCCCTCGAAGCGAGAGAGGGGGGGACAAAACGTGTCCCCCAGGGTGCCTTGCGCACCCTGTCCCCGCACGAGCAATAACAGAATACCCTGTACCCGCGCTCCGAACGCCACGATTCCGCGTGAGCTACCTCGGGTCTTCGCTCCCAAAGCCGAGGTCCAATATAAAATGCCAGGACCATGATCTCACGTCAGAAACGATGGATCCTTCCTGCTCCCTTGGGCACGACCATTCGCAGAATACAGCACGTACCCTTCTCAGAGCCAGATTGCGCATTCGGCGGCCGAAAACAAAACAGCCTGCCAACGGTTCGACCAGTCAGCCAATCGACCCACCTCACGAGAAGAAGGTCGACGTAGTTACGCCCGAAGGGATGTCCAGCGACGTCCTCCAAATTTGCTCCCTAGCCAGCTGGGGAAACGTGAAGCCCCATAGATCGACCAGAGTTGGGCCCGCGGGATTTGTCGCCCGTCGCCCACAAGGAGATGGCTCGAGATGGGCAGGTTTCCGAGATGGCAGCGGGGCTTCTGAGAAGGCAGAGGGCTTCTGAGAAACTGGCCTGGCTCATAAGACGGCTTATCAGAAGCCCCCAGGGCCCTTCGAAGCAGGACCCTGCCTTCTGAGAACCCCCTCCCCGTTTTCTGAGAAGCATACTTCCTCACGCTACCCCCCCGCGCGCGCCGCCGAAAAGCGCAGGGGACGGCGGTGGCTCGCCGGAGGCTTCTTCGATCATGAGCTCTGCCTTCTGCACGGAGCGGTTCATCAGGACGGCAACGCTGCACCCCGTGCCCCGGGTCCACGGGACCACGAAATGCTTGTTCACGTCGGCAACGGTGACACGTCCTGTCTGCGATGGTGGGGGAGCAGGACGGCCTGCAGCCTACCACCTCCCCTCGGCGGTGGGCAAACCTCCCTTTCGTGAACCTCCCCTCAGTGAAAACGGCCTGGGACCGAAACCCACGGACCCGGACCCGCAAAGATGACGGCCGCGGCGCCTCTCGCGAACCGAAAGCGACCACGTGTCGGGGCAGGAGGTCTGTCCGCCCCCGATCCCCGCGCTCTCCACGCCCCCGGCCTCCGCCACGCGCTCACTCCCACCTCTCCACGACTCCTCTCGGTCGCCCCACTTCGCGCCCCGCGCCGCGCGCAAAGCGCAAGGTGCTGTCCTCTCTTCTGGCCCTCGCGCCGCTCCGCCGAGGGGGGGGCGACATCCGCATCCGAACGCCACGAACTATCAATTCTCCTCCTCCCCCCCCCTCCTCCTCCTCCTCCTCCTCCTCCTCCTCCTCCTCCTCCTCCTCCTCCTCCTCCTCCTCCTCCTCCTCCTCCTCCCCTCCCTCCCCTCCTCCTCCTCCTCCTCCTCCTCCTCCTCCTCCTCCTCCTCCTCCTCCTCCTCCTCCTCCTCCTCCTCCTCCTCCTCCTCCCTCTCCTCCTCCTCCTCCTCCTCCTCCTCCTCCTCCTCTCCTCCTCCCTCCTCCTCCTCCTCCCTCCTCCTCCCCCTCCTCCTCCTCCTCCCTCCTCCCTCCTCCTCCTCCTCCTCCTCTTCCTCCTCCTCCTCCTCCTCCTCCTCCTCCTCTCCTGCTCCTGCTCCTCCTCCTCCTGCTCCTGCTGCTCCTCCTCCTCCTCCTCCTCCTCCTCCTCCTCCTCCTCCTCCTCTCCTCCTCCTCCGCCTCCCCTCCTCCTCCTCCTCCTCCTCCTCCTCCTCCTCCTCCTCCTCCTCCTCCTCCTCCTCCTCCTCCCTCCTTCTCCCTCCTCCTCCCTCCTCCTCTCCTCCTCCTTCCTCTTCCTCCCCTCCTCCTCTCTTCTTATTATTATTATTATTATTATTATATTATTATTATGTTTATTATTCTTATTATTTTCTTATTATTATTATTTTCCTTCTCTTCCTCCTCTTCCTCCTCCTCCTCCTCCTCTCCTCCTCCTCCTCCCTCCTCCTCTCCTCCTCCTCCGCCTCCTCCTCCTCCTCCTCCTCCTCCTCCTCCTCCTCCTCCTCCTCCTCCTCCTCCTCCTCCTCCTCCCCACCTCCTCCTCCTCCTCCTCCTCCTCCTCCTCCTCCTCCTCCTCCTCCTCCTCCTCCCCGCTCCGCCTCCTCCCCCCTCCTTCCTGAATCGATGGGAGGCGGGGGTGGGTTTGGATTTCACCAAGTGTTCGACGAATTCCGAACCCTACGCCTACCCCAGCCGCCCATCGAGTTGCCTGAATCGTTGATCGGCGAGGGTAGGGTTCGGTTCGGATTTCGCCGCTGCGCGCTGCCATCTCTGCGCCATCGCACCAGCCCCCCGAGAAGCACTGTAGCCCCGAGGCCCAGGTCGCAAAGCGCGACGCACGGCCATCTCCGAACCGCCACGGGTGGACCTGGCGTCCCCTCCCTTCGGGGGGACATGCGGGTGGGGTACGGGAAGAGGTAGGGTTGAAGAAAACTCGCTCTGAACGGCGCTGGAAGGAATTGCGAGCATCCGGGAGGGCCCTTTCGCTAACCCCACGTTGGGATAACACCCCCTCTGCGAGCCCCCGATCCCTCCTGCCAGCGGGGTGAGGTAGGCGCTATATTCCTGCCCCCCCAGGATAGAATGAATGCCCAGGCTGCAGTGGCCTTGCACTCCTGCATAAAGTGTATGAGCTGCTGCAGCTCCAACGCCCAGCACTCGGGGGAGACGTTCTTTTGACCCCTGCCCTCAGCAGGAAGCCATGCAGGCCTTGGTGCCGAAACAAGGCGGCGCCTGCCAGAGGAGCACGACCGAAGTGTTGGAAACCGCATTTTGCCCTCGTGCAGGAGGGCGACTGGCGGACATGCGCACCCAGACCGGCGCTGCGCGGCCCTTCATTGGGGGCCCAAAAATATACACCACCACCACCTCCCTCCCCCCCTCCCTCTCTCAGGAAAAGAGGAAGAGAAGAGGAGGGTAGAGGAGGGTAGAGGAATCGACGTGGCGGTGGTGTATATTCTTGGGGCCCCCATTCATGTACCATCTTCGGGGGACCTTGTCTGTCAGGTCGCACAGCTATTCGAAACGAACCCGTATCGAATCCGCGTCGAATCCACGCCGAGTCCATGCCGAATCCGCGCCGAACCCGCGTCGAATGTCGCAAAATGCCTCAGCTTACAGGACAGACGAGGTCCCCCAAAGATGCAACGTGAGACGGCCCTATGCCTAATAGCTTGAGCTTAAATGGCTTCGGACAGACGCAGAACCGGGGGCCCTGCTTTGGTGTCACCGCTGCGCTCTAGCTGACGGCGGGGGCCCTTGGACACAGGCCTGGGATCCTGTGCGGCGACCTGGAACCCTTCTCCTCATTCGCTTCCATCCTCCGTCTTCTCATTTTATTAATTCTGTCCTTCTTCATATCCTTCTTATGCTCATTATGATTGTTTAATATGAATAGGATTAATCATTATGCGTTTTCTTCCTCCTCCTCCTCCTCCTCTTTCTCCTCCTCTTGCTCCTCCCCGTCATCTTCCTCTTCATCCTCACAAGGAACACCGATATAGGCCATGGGCTTCAAAAGAAGGGCAGCAGAGAGCGATAACAAGCATAGGCACAACAGTACTTCAGTATCGTACGTACTGTCCAACCGCCCGCGAAGGCGACACCATAATTAATCACCAGGCGTTCCTGGATGGAATGTCTTTGACCACGTACACGCAAGTAACGGCATGCATCGCCTGTGTATGTGCATCCACGAGGGCGCCTTCGGCATGTTGGGACGCGTTTGAATGTCTATCAGCTGCTTGGCGGGGCTTCTATGGGCTTCTCTAGGTGACCAAACCTCGCGCCTCGCGCCCCGCGACGCGCCACGCCCCGTTGTCTTCGCGCCCTCGCGCCGCCGCCTGGGAGAGAAGGGTGCCTCTCCAACCCGAGCCGTGATGCGCGAAGCGCAATTCTCTTGGCCCCACTGGGGGTGACCTAGATTTTCCAAGGGCGCCCCGCCCTTCTCGACGCTCGCGCGACGGCTCTGAGACGGCGTGCCTCAGCTCGACGAGGCCGCAAAAAACTTGGCGACGCCTTTGGGAAATCATTCCCCGAGCAGTGCTTGCACTCTTTGTTTTTTGTCGCAGCTGTTTGGCTTTACGCATGATTGACCCACGAACACGGAAACGGACGTGGATAACTGTAGGAGCGCTTTAACGACCT